AAAGATCTTCTGCGAGAGACCATCCAGTAAAACAAAAGTGATTAACATAACTTTGTAAATTTTGTTTCATAATTGTTTTAAAATAGATAAAGTTGATAATAGGAAGGTTTGACTCAAATAATTCTACAGATTCAATATTTATCGTACATACAACAGACTCATATGTTGTTTACTAATGTCCACGCAAGAGTATGTACAAATTATTAACGCACAATAGGAAATAAAGTGTGTTTTTTTATTAGAATAACGAAACATATCTCGACTAATCTGAATTGGAAAAGATCTTCGTCTGTCCGCAATATTATGGATTTCTATAAGTTCTAGCCCTAGTCAAATCTGTGCACTTTAGATAATAAAAGTTACGTTTATTACAATGCTTTCCATCAACACATTTGCAACTGTCAGTAATTGTATCATTTGATTCTTTCAAATATCAACAAAGCATCTTAACGTCCTCAATGTATTATAAATACATTTAAGAGAGGGGAAACAGAACAGATCATAGCAAAACGTCTATTCTGACACAATAAAATCTGTAAATGTAAGAATAAATAGCAAACAGCTACATGTGCAATCTATGTAAAAGACAATCACTAGGAAAACGCCGATATAAGGAAGCACCCATTTACAATTCAATAAGTCGGTGCGTAAAAACAAAGAAAGTAACAATTTACTGCACTACAAAGCCACGTAATACTTCTATACGTCAAAATAATAAAACTCATGTCTTAGGGGAGTAAAACACGTGTAGAATTCGAACGTAGAGGAAAAATTGTCTGTAAACCATTTATACCCTTACAAATTTACAATTTTTCGTTACAAAGGATATTCTTTTTTTAAATAAATATTTCATGTATAATCCGTAACAGAATGTTCTAATTTCACGTAGGTTTTTTCACCGGTAGAACAAACCACCATTTGACGTGAAATAATTGCAATATGAACAATATAAAGTTAGGATCACCAATAAACATGATAAGTCCGTCTAATGTATTTTTACATTTGTTTTTATTTGTTAAGTATAAAGTTGTACTTTAAAAGTATATTTTGATATTGATTTATCTTAATTACAGGAATTTCAAGAAGTTATTACATGTGCGTTAGCCTCCTGATGCCACGATTAATTATCACAATGGTAGCAGCTCATCAAATACTATACTGGATTGATATTGTTGACTGTCGTTTTCATAAAAGTAAAATCCCACCTGTTTTTGGCAAAAATTGACTCTCGTCTCAAACTGTTCTGAGTATCAAACACATTTGAAATACATGCTTACTGCAGACTAATACATAAGCGACAGAGATTGTTTTGAGGAGAGGCTCAATCCACGTTTTATAATTTACAGTTGTTATCGAGACTTATTTTCAATTTTACATTTCAAGTTATTGTGATCGACCGTTGGAGAGCTACTTACATTCCTGAATTAGGCGAGAAACATCGTGACGAGTACCACACGTGGTTGAAGGAATGCTTACCATTCCGGTGTGATTTTAATGTCTCATATTTAAGTCCTGATATTTTTATATGGTGTAGCCTTTAACGACATGTAGAAGAAATGTGTCAAAACAATTGTTTTTTGTTTGAATTGTTTTATATTATATGCAATTATACTTATATTTTAAAGAAAAAAATATTAAAACGATTTATCTACTAAAAATGCATTTAAATTATAACGAACTACTTTATATAACATGACCCCAATTACAGCACCATTTAATATTTGTTAAAAAATTATTGTATGTAGATAGCATGTGGATTTTATGGACTTTAACTAATTAAATTATAAATTATGTTTGAAAAGCAAACGGATTCTTCTATTACTGCCTCAGAACATGCAATTTTCCTTCACCAGCGCCTTTAATAGAGGTCTGGACTGTGACGTCACACTAAGCAGGATATTGACGGCTACACATAACCAGGAAGTGATGGAGCTGGGTATTGCTATCTTAGCATTGGTTTAAATGTAATGAATGGAATCTTCAACGTAATTAATGGTGAAGTGGTGGCGGGATTTGTAAAATTAAGTGTTGGGTAGTCGTAGGAACTGTCATAAAACGTTAGGAAGTGGAAGGAGTTCTAATTAGATGTGGGGAATACCGTCACAGCTTCATTATGCTATAACTGTACATATTTATACAAACAAAATGAATTGCTCCTGAATATTAAAACAAAGATGAAATGCCATTAAGGTTAATATATAATTTCCAGGTATGAAAAAATTGTCATTACTCTCTACAGGGAGATCAATTAACTAGTGATCTTCAATGTAGCTTTCTACTTGGGATTTACTGACCCGGAGCATCCGTCGGACTGAAGGAAACGTGTCAATCCTACACACACCGATATGAAAACCCCACTTCACGTTAACCCTTTCATCACTCTAGACCATAATGGACTCATCCAGATCAACGTATGGTATAGTCTACTTAAGTTACCTAGGGGTAAAATCGTTAACCACCGCCGAAGTGTATCCTGTATAGGACTTTCCTCACTGGCTAAACGGGAGTGGTGTCTAGCGATGGAAATAACCCGGAGAGGATTAGAGAGGAATGGGGAAGTTATGTTAGCATCCTCACAAGCACGGCCGTGGAATCCAGGAAATGTATTTCTTTCAACCGATATTTGATGAATGTGGCTTTAAGTAAACTTAGGGTAAAAAAACCCAGAAATGATAAGTATTTGACTATGCTGGTCATTTTCATATATATATATTTACATCTAAAATTACTAATCTTACCCATATATGAATTATATAGACCCTGAATACAAATAATACATGTCCGATTGAAATATTGATTACATTTGTCCCATTCATATATAAATTACACCTACCCTATAATAAATAACTTATATATATTAATCGCATTCGTCTTGATTATGTGAATTATACTTTTCCCATTGAAACGAAGGTTAATACAATTGATCTGTTAGAAGTCTAGTTGTTCACTTGCTTCTCGTCGCCCACAATTTTGCGAAGAAAATCTTCTGTCCATGCCATTTAGGAATATGAGGCACAAGTTCTTTTTTAAAACAGAGGTACAATGTAGCGTATTGCAGAATGAAATTTCCATATAATAATGTCGGTGTATTATTTGGTACACCTAGCATTACTTGTAAACAAAAGATGTACGTAACACACACACATGTGCCAGCACTTACAAAGTTCGCAGTACGCCAAAAATAAATTACGCTGTTCTATACAGCTGTTTCGTCCTTAATCTCTCATCAGTGATGCTAAGGGCCAAACAAGATGAAACCTATTTTTTTCAAGCCTACTGTTTTAACAGAGGGGGTAAGGTGTGAATAACCCTGTATTTATATGAATTGTAAATACGAGCAGTTTCAAATTAATAATATTGAGTAAAGCAAAAGATAAATGACACACAAATGTAATGTCACACATACAATTTGGCAATAGATATAGCCTGTTAAATTTGAATTGCACTGCAAGTATCTTTATAGTTGACAGAATTATTAATAGTTTGAACAAACTCTAAGAACTATGGATATGTTATAGTCGTCCGAATTGTTCTTGCTGAGGAGGCGACTGACTATCTTACCTTAAACAGTGTTTCATGCAGTAAGTATATATCAAAGGGACTAACTAGCCAGTACTATGAACGTATGGTCACCTTGTAACGTGATATGGATTTTCCCATATTTTATTTTGTTGGTAATATCTTTAATTGACGCCAAAGCCGAAAAGTCCTTAATAATACTTGCAATGCAATTCATTTGTTTCATAATAATTTGTTTATTTATTTTGCTTTTCATTTGTAAAATATCTATTATAAAATAAGTAAACAGATTAGTTATCCTGCTTTATAAATATTGTTTTGTCAGAACAGTGTAGTAAATTCTATCTGATTGATTGTTATTCAATTTTTTCACTTTATATGAAGGAATATATTCTTTGCATAGGTGGTAAACTTAGTTAATCATAAATGTTTATCATATAATATAGTATAATTATCGTATATACTATTCGACGGACACTCTATCAGCAATCATAAGGGTCTAACAAGGACACAGCGAGAACAACCAGGGACAGCTCCAGCATGCCTCTGTACTTGTAAGCTATTAAACTTATAATGAAGCCATCGTCAGCGAAGTAGCAGAGCAATATTAAATATCCGTTAAATCTGAGTTTTAAATTGTTTTTAGTTGTGCGGCACGTGATTCATCTTATTTCAGATACGTTAGCTATATACACTGTTAACATGCGCACGAACGCAACGCGAATATGGTGACGCAGTGATATAACACTAAGTATTACTGAAACCAAACCTAACAGTGTCAACACACCCCTGTATGGTAGAACGTCCATTATATACGCAATCTAACACATATCAGCTCACTCGAGTTGAAACGGTTGTATCTCTTACTAATATGCAGGTGAACGATATATGTCCTTGTGTGGCATGGCTGTTTAAACTCTAGATGAGTGATAATTATTCAGAGCTATAGCTCATTTATTTTATAAATTTCCCACATAGATATACAAGTGAAATGTTTCCTGCTTTAAGTAATTTATAGGTTTAAAACAAGACCTTTGGCGCCTTGTAAATAATGTAATTCTCGTTGTCTTCGAGAATGTATAAAATTCTTTTACGTCGACACAAAAACAGCAATAAGAGTTGTATACAGAATCATTCGACACAAAAAGGGGACTTTATATAGAAACATTGGACCCACAATAAACAAGTAGGTTAAGTAGGACATAAACATAACATTAACCCAGGTGAAATTCAGCTTTTTATTTAATGATTTTCTTGAACTTGTTATCAACACATATATCACCTTACGAAAGACTAGACGGTGTGTCCATTGCAGATCGAAGAAAAAGGTCATCATAATATACCAAATACTATATTAAAGTTCATAGCGCCATCATGTCATTTTACCAACGTTTATGAATAGTTACATTGCTAGATATATTCATAAAATGAACTGAATTTACAAAAATACAACTAAAAACAAATTATACATATTCCCATTCTTTATACATATGTATCTGAGTGAGACCCGTTGCAAGACAGCGAAGGAGATCAGTATTATATAACTGATAATTGAATGAAACGCTTGTAAATACAGATGACAAATAAATGTATAGAGTACAATATTTAATGTTTGACAATAATTTTGCATGCAATGAGAATGATACTAATTAAAGGTTATGTAAATCTTCGAATTTCGAGCATTACATTTCCACTAAAACGTCATAAAATAACAAGTTCTTAGAATGACAAATTTCCAAAATAAACAAGTTGTTTCACAAAAAAAATCTGTTTGCTGGCAGGGTGGGTCATTAAGTTTGGTAGTGGATATATGATTACCGTAAGTTAATTATAGCAGGTTTGTGGGTGAAATGTTTAGACCGGTGTATAGGTCTATATAACTAACCGTCTAGATAGGTATTTCATGTATGCATGCATTACAAAAGATCATGACAGTATAGCTTATGTTGTTTATAATGTTATGAACGAACCATAATTGTTTGCTTTTTATGGATGCTTTGTTTAGCTACTATGTATTCGCTGAAGTTTCACATTTCTATTAATAACCACGCTGTAATTACAAGCACACAAGCATATAGTATGACAGGCATATCATATAGACTATAACACATACAAATCTAAGTGATAAATGCATTTATCGCTTACATTCCCCTTATCTTTAAAACATTTAAATCTAAACGGTACAATTGATCATTGTTTGATTAACCAGTGAGATCCTTTGATGTTACCGCCACAAATACAGTTACATAACTACCCGTTGTATATATAACCACAATGCAATAGTACAATTATACAGTTACTCTGTCTAAGACCACAGTGACACTAGTAAAGGTTATAGACACTCTATGAATATCTAACCATAACACTGTGACTATATAGCGATGCTTGTTTTTACCTATGCTAAAATAGGAAGTACGTTTCAAAGGTAGACTCCATAAAAACATCTTTATGAATATTTAACAAACGGAAAGATGACTCTAGAAACAAAACAAAGGTAAAGCGACATCAAGATAAATCATTTAACTGGCTGTAAATGATAATCATAGGCAATATGAATGACAACTTCACGACAGGAATATTTCAAAAATGAAAGCATGGAGCACTAGATTTCCTGTTATGCTTTTAGATTTCATATTGCTTTTCTCATACTTTGAAAACAGTTCATATTTTTTCAACATGCAGCATTCAAGTTTAACAAGTATACACATTACGTTTCAGAAATACCTAATGCTCACACTTCGAAATGTTAGTCATAACGCCATTTCATCCAATACCTTGTCCATCAACCATGCAGAATTGAATAATGCCACTATTGCAATCATCATTGGCCTTTCGCGTTACAACCAAGACAAATCTAGTTATTTGCTTTAAGTCCAGGGCCTGCGGTATTTGAAATCCCTATATGACTTGATGGGGCAGGGCCCAGACAGGTGCATCCCGCTGAAAGGGGTTCCAGTACAGTACTGTATCGGTAGACGTTGTCGATACAGCCCACTCGTCTGAGGACACTGATGTAAAAGTAAATCTCCTTGCATTTATTGCCTGACAGATTATGGGAGTCTGTTTGGCAGCCATCACAATTTGTTGCTGAGCAACGGGCCTCGTACAGGACATTAGGGATTCTATTTGGGTCGGTGTTCCTATGATATCGCCATGGGCACACACCTCTATCCATATCAGCTACAAAGTTGGGCTGGGTAGTCATGCTGGTACTCACTAATTCGCGTGTTATGTTATTGAAGATACAAGGTACACCCTTTATAATACCTCTGTTGTAGGACTCTAGCATCGCCAATGTATCACTCTCCAGACCTGTGATAGGGGTCCCGGATGAGGGCATCACTTCCGGCTCCTGACAATCTATGTGACCTTTGGTCCCGTGAATTATTGTACAAATGACCATGTACAGCACAAACATCACATAACATGTCGTTGACGTCTGTAAAAAAATTTAGAACAATTTTAACATTATCATAATCGGATTTCAAATATTATAACACATCGTATTTGTGACGAAGGAATCAAGCCTATAACGATGGACTGACATGTTTGGCCAATTAATCTACACTTTCTTATTGTTAAACTGTTTTCTGTCTTTCATCAATGAATTAAGAGCTTCACAAGAAGATAGGTATGACATATATTAAACTGATTGAATAAATGCATGTCAAACGTTTTAAATCTTCTAATTTAACAACTGTCGTATAAGTTTACTTGAAACTAACTAATCAAAATTGACTTTACAAAGTATGTTCTGAAAGGCGAAATGATTGAATAAAATGCAGTTTTACCATATTTTTGTTTCCAAAACTTAATGATGAGTAGCAATGCAGCTCCGGCTCTTATATACCAATAATTTGGAACGAACAGATTCTAATTTTATCTTATACACGTCATTTACTTCGAAGACAAATTAATTGGAAACACCGCTCTTCTTTATATAATAATAAAAATAGGGGATTTGATCTAAAAAGACAATATTTTGTCATATTTAAGAATATGATGCGTTTGACCGTCCAATGTATATCTGTAATTATACAATGGTCCATATTAGGGGAAGTTATGTTTGTCGTTTAACCCGACACAGGGAACGCCCGCCGTTACGGTTAACCAGCAAATTATATGTAACAGGGAAGTAGCGTTAACGAATTGTATCTTCAAACGTCTATGTAGTCATGCGCATCCCACCGATTGACATGCCAGTATACTCTGTTACAACGTTAGGTTTAGGAAGTAATCCGCTTTTATGTCATTAACCGTTACAGAGCAAATAGTGTCTGTAAACTGTCGATAAATACCCCATATTATACATGATATCTTTACGGGGACAAATATCTTTTTAAAAAACTCAGCAAAGTGTAAAAAGGAAACGCAAAAGCGTTATCGAACAACTATTTCTCTCTCTCCTTTTTCAGTCTTGTAATTTGTAAATGTTGTGCAGAGGAAATGTACCAGCGTTATCGAACAACTATTTCTCTCTCTCCTTTTTCAGTCTTGTAATTTGTAAATGTTGTGCAGAGGAAATGTACCAGCGTTATCGAACAACTATTTCTCTCTCTCCTTTTTCAGTCTTGTAATTTGTAAATGTTGTGCAGAGGAAATGTACCAGCGTTATTTTACACAAGTGTGACTCAACGCTTTTTGATATTTTTATTCAGTTTTGTAATTTATATACACAGTGTCTAAAATATTAGAGTAGCATTTAAAACAAGTAATGCAGTTAAAAAGTGGTGACGAGGTGTACTAAAACAAGCTTTATGTGAATGGAAAATCTTATGCTACACCAGTGACGTGTACAATAGTGCTTCCTTGTCAAATTAAACGGCCAGCAATCACGTAACGGTCCAATTCAGGATATACACCAACCATAACAGCTATCTAACCTGTTAGCTATATAGTCAGATTTCAGCCTACCACTGTATTCTGGTGTTTTATATAATGTCTAATGCTTGTATCTTACCTATAATATCGTTATCATTTGAACACCTTATCGTACTACAATGTAAAAAGCATATTGAACTGTTGAAACACTTGAACATATCGATATTTGAACTTAGTTTTGTTCTTTATTTTATTTTGATTTCTGTTATCACACACCGAGTAACTACCGTGGGTATTTACTTGGATAGCCACTATCATAAACCAGGCGCAAAAACTTACGTATTAATCCATGGCTATTCACAAAGATACAAATCTGGTATTTTTGCAGAATATAAATAAATCAACACATTTTAACAAATTTCAAATAACAAGTCAATGTTTTCAACAACAAAAAAACAGTTTTGGTATTATATATTGCAAATTTCCATATGGATTTTTTTTTGTCAGGAAACCATTAGTACCAATAAAAGTAAGGGAAGTAAGAAAAAGATAACATCAATATCAATTTTTTCAATTTCTTGTTTCTTCGTTAGAGATGATACAACGTTTGACATATGCATCTACGAATTCAATTCTAAATTACCGAACCCCAATACCGAACATCACATCATTTTATATGCTAAAATCATACAAGATAAAATACCTAGGTTCATTGTGGTTTATAATATTTGGGATACCTGAGTACATATTGGTATCAGATGTTTGGATACCTGAGTACATATTGGTATCAGATGTTTGGATACCTGAGTACATATTGGTATCAGATGTTTGGATACCTGAGTACATATTGGTATCAGATGTTTGGATACCTGAGTACATATTGGTATCAGATGTTTGGATACCTGAGTACATATTGGTATCAGATGTTTGGATACCTGAGTACATATTGGTATCAGATGTTTGGATACCTGAGTACATATTGGTATCAGATGTTTGGATACCTGAGTACATATTGGTATCAGATGTTTGGATACCTGAGTACATATTGGTATCAGATGTTTGGATACCTGAGTACATATTGGTATCAGATGTTTGGATACCTGAGTACATATTGGTATCAGATGTTTGGATACCTGAGTACATATTGGTATCAGATGTTTGGATACCTGAGTACATATTGGTATCAGATGTTTGGATACCTGAGTACATATTGGTATCAGATGTTTGGATACCTGAGTACATATTGGTATCAGATGTTTGGATACCTGAGTACATATTGGTATCAAATGTTTGGATACCTGAGTATATATTGGTATAAAATGTTTGGATACCTGAGTACATATTGGTATGAAATGTTTGGATACCTGGGTACATATTGGTATGAAATGTTTTGGATACCAGAATACATATTGGTATGTAATGTTTGGATACCTGAGTACGTATTGGTATGAAATGTTTAGATACCTGGGTACATTTTGGTATGAAATGTTTTGGATACCTTGGTAAATATTGGTATAAAATGTTTAGATACCTTGGTACATTTTGGTATGAAATGTTTTGGATACCTGGGTACATTTTGGTATGAAATGTTTTGGATACCTGATTAAATATTGGTATAAAATGTTTTGATACCTGGGTACATTTTGGTATGAAATGTTTTGGATACCTGATTAAATATTGGTATGAAATGTTTAGATACCTGGGTACATATTGGTATGAAATGTTTAGGTACCTGATTAAATATTGGTATAAAATGTTTTGATACCTGGGTACATATTGGTATGAAATGTTTGGATACCTGATTAAATATTGGTATGAAATGTTTTGATACCTGGGTACATTTTGGTATGAAATGTTTTGGATACCTGAGTACATTTTGGTATGAAATGTTTAGATACCTGGTTACATTTTGGTATGAAATGTTTTGGATACCTGAGTACATATTGGCATGAAATGTTTAGATACATGGGTACATATTGGTACAAAATGTTTGGATACCCTAGTACATATTGGTATGAAATGTTTAGATACCTGGGTATATTTTGGTATGAAATGTTTTGGATACCTGAGTACATATTGGTATAAAATGTTAAGATACCTGGGTACATTTTGGTATGAAATGTTTTGGATGCCTGATTAAATATTGGTATGAAATGTTTAGATACCTGGTTTCATATTGGTATAAAATGTTTTGGATACCTGGGTACATATTGGTATGAAATGTTTAGATACCTGGGTACATCTTGGTATGAAATGTTTGGATACCTGAGTACATATTGGTATGACATATTTGGATACCTGAGTACATATTGGTATGAAATGTTTGGATACCTGGGTACATATTTGTATGAAATGTTTTGGATACCTGAGTACATTTTGGTATAAAATGTTTTTGATACCTGGGTACATTTTGGTATGAAATGTTTTGATACCTGAGTACATATTGGTATGAAATGTTTAGATACCTGGGGACATCTTGGTATGAAATGTTTGGATACCTGAGTACATATTGGTATGACATGTTTGGATACCTGAGTACATATTGGTATGAAATGTTTTGATACCTGAGTACATATTGGTATGAAATGTTTGGATACATGGGTACATATTGGTATGAAATGTTTGGATACATGGGTACATATTGGTATGAAATGTTTGGATACCTGGGTACATTTTGGTATGAAATGTTTTAGATACCTGGGTACACATTGGTATGAAATGTTTTGGATACCTGGGTACATTTTGGTATGAA